TCTGCCTGCAGTGTGCCCAGCGAGATGGTGCTGTGTTGATTTTGCCATCCTGGATAAGATGCCCTCCAGAACCCTGCTCACAGGTCAGAGAGGCACAACTCTCTCCCAGACCTTCCTCCCCTGTCTGCTTGAGCCAGTCCTCATTGCTCCCAGCCAGGGCTTGAAGCTGGGGGAGTCTGGGCAAGCTGACAGCAGGGTACCCATGCTGGGGGCACATGGGCAAGCTGACAGGGTAAGTGTCCCAGGAGGGCACCAGGGAGGCAGTGAGGCTGATCTGCCAGTTAGTCTGCATTGCTGGGAGGAGGGCATTTGAGGGAGAAGTACGGTATGAGAATGGAAAACCCCTGAAACAGTTTCTGGAAATAAAATCAAAGTGTGTGTGTAGGTATAAACAAACCAACAGATAAATATATCCCTCTCTGACTTCCCAGAGCAGTCTCCAGCACACCAGAAGAGCTACTGGGCTTGTGGTAGGGCTGTACTAACTCAGCAGGGACGTCTGGGAGCATGGGCTATCCTGCATGCTAGTCCTTGGGAATCAGGGCTTTTGTTTGATTAAAACCTTACTGCCAAACACAGGGGTCCCACTGTGCTCTGATCCCCAGTTTCTCTCTGTGGGCAGCAGCTCTCTCCATGGGTCTGTATCCTGCAGTAACCTTTTGCAAAGGTCTTGCTTTCTTCTTGATCCCAGTGGTGCTGAGCTGCAAGCTCCAAGCTCAGATGCCCAGGGCCTTTTGAGTTTACTTATTGCTCTGTAATGGCTGGTGGGTCAGCAGTACCAGGGCCAGGCTATGCTGCAGACATTAGAAACCAGACAGCAGTTCTCTGCCCCAAACCATTTAGTATTCTTGCATGTAACAGGCAAAGGGGAAAAACACAGGATGGTAAGCCGCAGAGCTTGGGATTAATTTATGCTCTCCAGACACAGTGCAGCAGGACCAGCCCTGCTGCCAGTAAACGCATTGCCCCTGCCCCAGCCAGGCAGCACTAACCACAACGAGGTGTGTTGCCTGCCCTTCCTCTACAGTGCTCAGGTTAGGTTTCAAACCAGCCTGATTTCCTCTGCATGGTGCTCGGCGCCGCACCCTGCCAGCTCCCCCTTCCGCAGGCATCACCCTGCTGTTTACGCTGAGCCCTCCCTGGCCCGTTTCCTGGGTGAGGACTGGTTCCTCCCTGCCATCCCTGCATGAACATGGCAAGAACCAGCTCTCAGCTGTGAGCATGTGGGGACAAGTCTGGTGCTGAGCTAGGCCCTGCCCCAGAGGGTGCAAAGCAATGCTGATGAGCTCATATGAGGGATTTTATGGGTCCTGCACAGGGGACCCTAGGCCAGAGGCTCCAGCCAGGTCTCTGGAGCAGCTTCATGGTCTTGGTCATGCCACACTGACCATGGCTGGCCGTGCCACGCTGGGTGGGAGTGACAGGACCACTGTGCAGCTCCCTTGCTCCCGGGGACATGTCTGCTCACCGGAGACGTGGTTACAGGGCAGAAGATGCTAGGGGAAAGCTGAGCTTGTCCCAGGCACAGTAGGAGAACTGGCGCTGGGCATGGCACTTGGAGACCACGCACTGAGCTGGTCCAGCTTCTCCAGTGCTTCTGAGCTACCCAGGCCAAAATTCAGACCTAGGGAGGAGAGGGATTGCTTCTCTGGCAATTGTCAGTGGGTGTCAGCAGCTGCATGAAATGCCACACTGTAAAGAAGAAGTGAGACTCAGGAGTTTGCATTTGTTGCATGCTGACTCTGGAAGGATGCTAAGGGATAAGCACCTCCAAAGCTCCCATCCAACAGGCACTGAGCACTGGAAACGCTCAGTGCCTTTTACTGCAGATCACCCAAAAGGTCAAAATCTCAAACCTGTCGCAAAGGAAGGAAAGGTGTGACACCATGGGAGACAGGGTCTGGGCTGGCATACTGATGATGTGTTTTATTGGGATGATTTCCAAGTAATTATCTTTTTTGGGGGGGTTGGGCAGGGGCATTTTATAAAGCTGTTTGCTTTCTGTTTAATGTTTTTGCATTGAGGAAATGCAAGTTTCTAAAGAAAAGCCACTTAAAGAAAAAAAATCAACAAAACTTTGCCATTTAAGGTCATTAATATGGTCTAATGGAGATGATCCTGAAACTTTCTATTTTGTGTTTTTGTTTTCCTTCAAATCCAGAGATGCACTGCAGAGACTCTTTTCCTACAGAGACCCACCATCACCACCACCCAATTTCAATGAATTGACACCCAGGCACAACAATTGTGCCTGGGACAATTCTTTGAGCACTGTGAATGGCCAGGTCTCCAGGGTTTGGTGTCAGCCCAAGTCAGAGGGGCCTTGCTGGCTCTTCCCAGCTCCTCTGGGGCCAGAAGCATCCTGCCACTGGAAAGATGACTGCCGGCTGCTGCACAGTAGAAGAGACCAAAGCTAGGAAATGCAACCAACCAACTGCCAGGAGCAATCAGTCATTTTTAAACCAGCACAACTCCACCCTTCCTGGAGCAGAAAAACACCTGCAGGCAAATGGATGCCTTGGCTGATGTTGGGCTGTGCTGGGGCCACACAGCAGGGACAGGATAGGTGGGTGGGGATGTGGGGAGGGAGCCTTGTGGGAGAGAGATGGGGATGCCAGCTGTCCAAGAGCTAGCCTGGGGGTTGCCTGGCTAGCCCCACCAGGCAGAGCTCTCCACAGAGCTTCACCCAGGGATTTTTTTTTTTATCAGAATGTCTGAAAATACAAGGTTTAATCAGGACTGTGCAGCAGCACAGCAGGAAAACCTCAACAGAAATCATCAATATTTTATCTTGCATTTGTAGCTTGCTGTCTTTCCCCTGCAGCTGCTCGTGGCCCCCACAATCTGGAGCTGGACACCCTCCCATAAGCAGGCAGTCTCAGGGCAGGAGTGACCAGGCATGCCACTGGCCACAAACCCAGGGAGCCCTGCTCCAGGCTGCTCCTGCCCTGCTTCTCTCTGGACATCCCTGTCTGCAGACAAACTCTTCCCTCTGGGGCTGAGGTGCTTTTGCCTTCCTGTTGGCCTTGGTAGGAGCAGGCTGTGGAGGGTTCCAAGGCTTCTGCTGCTAAGGTGCCTCATCTCAGCATCTGTGAACACCTGCTATGGCCACAGTTCTGGCAGAGGATTCAGGGGGCTGCAGCTGGCCCCCATACCTCCCTTGGTCATTCCACGCCAGCACTCAGCAGCTATCAGGCAGTTTCAAGTAGATTGTGGTCTTGATTTGAAGGAAAGAGATGAGAAATGTTGCAGGATGGGGTGTCCCTCCCCCGCCCCCCTTCATTTCAAAGAAAGAACATCTGAACTGAAACAGCAGCAAAGGAGAAGTACCAAGATAAAGCTTAGCCTGTGTCTGTGCAGATAGCAATAGGGAGCCACTGCAGAACAACAGGAACTCTCCCTCATGTGTGTGCCCAGCTGAGGGGGAGCCTCATTTGCCCCCAGCCATGGAGATGGGGACTCTCTGCCTCGGGTCTGGCGGCAGCAGCTCTGAGGGAGGCACAGGGCTGGATTTGTGCCAGCCAGTGAGGCCCTGCTCTGCTGAGATGATTGCATGAAGTGGAGAAGACCCAAGTACCCCCAGGCCCCCCCGGCTATGGGACTGTGCCCTGACTTGCCATGAGATGGGAGCAGTGTTTGAGGTGTGTGGTAACTTGGCATGAGGCGGGGAGCTTGGCAGGCTGTTGGGGGACAGAAGCGAGAGGGTGCTGGAAGCGCAGCAGCAAGGGCTGGGACACAGCTTCCCAGAGCCAGCCCCCCCCTCACAACGTGCTGTGAAACTGTGGCATGCCTCACAGGTACCCAGTCCCCTCTGCTATGGAAAGGCCAAACAACACAGGTGCTAGGACAGAGCAAGGAACAAGGTTTTTGTCTCACCAGAATAGCTCTTGACAAAATAATCAGCCCTGCCTTTTAGGGCAGCACCTGATGTGCTTGTGGAAGGGGCATTAGGAAGAGCCTGTGATATTTTGCTGGTCCAGAGGACCTGGCACCCCATGGGTGAGTGTGTTGAGATATCCCAGCTGCTTATCTGCCTCAAACCCTCCTGCCATCAAAAGCATTTGCCTCCTACCTGCCCCACACTCGCTGCAGATCTCCCTGACATAGAGCTCATTCCTGTCAGCTATTTCTTCCCTGAGACTGCTCATACGCTGCCAGCTATTTGAGAAACTACTTAGTGTCCCTGACAAGCCAAGTTTCTTCATCCTCTGATCTTTTAGGGACACCCCACCAGTTCTGTCCTGAGCAGACACATTAGGTGGAGGCTCAGCCTGAAGCAAGTATAAAGCAGGGGTGATGTGCAAGAATCACATTGATCCTTTTGATTCCAGTGCTGTGCTAGGAGCATCTGCCCAGCCCATTTGGGAGTGTGCTCTTCGTGCTGAATGTGCAACCTTGCACTCCTCTTCTCTGGATTGAGCTGCACTCATGGCCCAGCCTTCCTGCTGATTTCCGCTCCTTCAATCTTGGGGTCATCTGCTGACTTTATCAGCATAAGTTTCTTTCCACGCTGCTGATAGAAAAGCCCAAAACAACAGCTGAAAGGGTGAATGTGGAGGATGGAGCCCTCAGCTTTTGATGAAAACCACTCTTGCTTGCACATGACTTTCTGCAGCAGGAACCTCCTTTGCATTTTCCACTTGTCTATGCTGTGATCCAGGCTAGGATTTCTCCACTTATCAAGCAGTGGATGGACTCCCAGGACAATTCCCTCCTTGCCATGCTGATGGAAGAAATCACTGCTCTTTGCTCTCAACCTGGGGACCTCTCCATTGCTTTGTGCCAGTCTGGAATGAGAACATAGGTGAAAGCAGAAAGCAGGGCACAGCTTCTGCTGTGATCCTGAGTTAAAAGGTGCTCTGTCTTTCTTTTCTCTATGCCTCTTTGCAGCTGTTTTGGGTGGGGTCCATCCTGCACAGAAATGTGGTTGATGTTGTAACTTCCCTTTTTCCACTTTGGTAGGTAGAAGTCTCACTTATTTTGCACAAGGAGCCCTCCCCACTACGTACTCCGTGCTGGGCCTCAGACAAGCAGCTGGAGAGCACTGCTAGCTGCTGAACCTCCCTCTGGCAGCAAGAGCCTCAGGCCAGTCATGACAGGTGAGTCACAAGGCAAATTCAACTGCCGCGGTTGGGAATAGCACATTGCAAGACTTCCCAGTTAAGTTTTGCAGATGCAGGGAATAGGTCAATGATAGACATCAATGTAACAATCATGTCAAGACTCCTGGGCTCTGGTCTCAGTGCAGCCCCCTGCACCTTCTGCAGTGCCAGGCAAGAGGCAGCAGATTTGTGCCTCTATTTCCCTGTCTATGACCTAAATAATGGGAAGATCCTGACCTATCTCTAGCAGGTACTTGAGAGCTGAAGGTGGAGGGTGCAGTGTCAGGGCACATGCAGGGCTTTGGCCAGCTGGTTTCCCCTGAACTAGGTGGAGCTGAGCCATAGCTTGAGAAACACAGGTGCCTGGACTTGCTGCATTGACAGGGCAGGACTTGGATGGATGTGTCCTGAGAGACTGGCAGGAGCTGGGCCCAAGGAGAAGCCCAGAGGGGTGAGAGCATGGAGCTTCCTCCTGGAGAAGGATGTATCTGGGCATGGGTCGTGCACAGGGCAGTTGATGAAGAGGCAGTTGCTCTCTGCCAGGCTCAGGCGTGAATTTAATGCCACAAAAGGCAAAACACTTAGTGAGTCAGGCTGTCTGGGTGCTCTTACTAGCACTTGGCGGCTTTGTTCAGCCCAACAGACCTACCCATCAAGGTGGGAGGTGTTACCCCATTTCACCCAGCCTGCCCTGACTCAAAGAGGGGCCTCACACATCATTTCATTCATGTCCCCCACCTTCACAACCACAGCAAAGCTGAGAATAGCCAGGCCCTTACTAAGAAATTATGACAGCTGTTAGAAACTATGTCAATACTCTAGCTCACAACAGGAAACTTTATTAAACAACAGGAAGCCCATGCTCATGCTCGGACTTACAAAACACCTCACCCTCTTCTCCCCTTGCTCTTTTCAGTGCTGCAAGGCTGGCAGACAGGGCTCTAACTCTCATCTCCACGCTGGGTAGGGCTGCTGGGATCAGAGCCAGTCCTGTGTGGCAGAGTCTCACAGCTGTGTCCAGCCCTCAGAGGGCCTTCTCTGCTCCAAACCCCATCTCAACTCTTGCTCCATCGTGCATCCCTTAGCTGCTGACCTAAGCTCAGAAGATGGATGGTCCAGAGCTGAGCTGGCTGGTGAATCGCTCCCTTCCCCTTCCACTGGGCTCTGCACAATACCCTGAGCTCAGACTTGACCTGCTTGACAGGAAAAGTTCCTGCCTGCAGCTGGCTGCCATGAGGAATGTGAACATCATCCTGCAGCACTACAACTTCACAGGCAAGCTGACCAACCGGCAGACTGGGGATGAGGGCATGGGTCTCATCCGCACAACCTTTGCCATCATCAGCTGCATCATCATCCTGGAGAACCTGCTTGTGCTGCTGGCCATCCTGCGGTGTCTGCGAGCCCGCCGCTGGGTCTACTCCTGCATTGCCAGCATCACCGTGAGCGACCTGCTTGCAGGAATTGCCTACCTTTCTAATCTCTGCCTCTCGGGCAAGAAGACCTTCCAGCTTTCACCTCAGCTCTGGTTCCTGCGGGAAGGCATTCTCTTCATCGCGCTGGCTGCCTCCACCTTCAGCTTGCTTGTGACTGCCATCGAGCGCTACAGTGCCATGGTAAGGCCAATTGCTGAGAATGAAGCCAGCAAGACCCTGCGCTTACGCAGCCTGATCATTTCCTGCTGGCTGCTTGCCTTCATCATTGGATTGCTTCCGCTGCTGGGCTGGAACTGTCTGTGCAACTTCAATGCCTGCTCTGTCCTCCTGCCTCTCTACTCCAAGAACTACATCCTTTTCTCCGTGGTCATGTTCAGCATCATCCTCCTGGGGATCATTGGCCTCTACATCTCCATCTTCCAGCTGGTCCAGGCCAGTTCTAGGCAAACCAGTTCTCGGCACAGCCGCAAACGGTCCCTGCGCTTGCTCAAGACTGTGCTGATAATCCTGGGTGCCTTCATCATCTGCTGGAGTCCCCTCTTTGTCCTGTTGCTCTTTGATGTTTTCTGTGAGACCCAGACCTGCACATACCTCCACAGCCTGGACTGGACCTTGGCTCTGGCCATGCTTAACTCAGGCGTTAACCCCATCATTTACTCCCTCCGGAGCGTGGAGGTGCGCCGTGCTGTGGGAAGCCTGCTGTGCTGCTGCTGTGTCAAGGTTGGGCTGTGCAAGCCTGGGAACTGCTTGGTCATCACAGACATCAACTCTGGCTCATCCACAGAGAGCTCCCTGCGCTACCGGGATAGCTTCCGCAGCTCTGTAGCACTGAATGCCCGGCCCAGAGCACCTCTCTCCAGCAACTCCAGCATGATGAGCAATCTCCCCAGCCTCTGAGAGGCCACGGGGAGAGCAAAAGTTGCCAGACAGCCCACCAGGACCTCGTGCTGCTGGTCCTGGCCTGGCAGAACTGTAGCCTACATGCAGCTCAGGCTGACCAGGTGCAGCCCCACCCCAGTTGTTAACTGTGGCCAGGCTTTCCAGTCCCTTCAGACTGGGATGTTGCTTCACTGTGGGTGCAGCATAGGGACAGGCATTGCTCTTCAGATGGGAGTGAAGGATATGGGCACATTTTGGGATTGACGCTTTGCTGAGACAACTGCTGTGCCTAGGTTATAAGTGGACCCTGCTCTGTGTGTGCATGTATATAGATGCTGTACCTGCCCCGATGAGGGTATTTTGCCCCTGGGCACAGTGACAAATAGGGTGGGTATCCCCAACCAGACTGCTCCCCAACCCCTTGGGATCAGGTGAGGCTGGCAGTGCTCCACTGCATGTCATGCAGGGCTGGAGGTGATACTTGAGTCTTCTGCTGCAGTTTACAGCCTTCTGGAACTCCTGTGATGGGCACAGCTGCTGGGAAAGGATGCAGGCTTGATGTCTTGCCAGGGAATTAAGAACAACTGGGTTTGCAAGTGCAAGTATGTGCAGCTGTGGGGCAGCCCAGAGGCCCCTGGCCAGGAACAAAGTGCCCACCTGTAGTGCCACACAAACCAGTCACAGGATAGCAGGGAGCTGCAGCAACAGCCCAATCCCTCACCAGAGTGCAGAGCCTGGGCACTGTGCCTGGGCAAATGCTGTGACAGTGCTTACAGCCTGGCAGCAAGAAGTAAGAGCCCTGCCATGCCTCTGGGCATAGGGCTGCACCTGCAGTGACAGCCCTGACACCACCATGGGCAGAAAGAGGTACCCACAGTGACTGGGGAGTCTGGTACCATCATGCATGGCAGAGCTACCTGCTCCCATCTGGCTGAACCTCTCAGGTAACATATACCTGTACAGCAGAGGGTTCGTAACGCTATGGCCTCCCAGACAGGTAGGTCATGCTCTGGTAAAAATGCCAAGTTCTAAGGTCCCCACACAAGGGGAGGTGCCCACTGTGGTGGGCACGGGAAGGTTGAGCAGCAGCTTGTAGATGGCTTTGCATTCTGTTGTCTCCAGTGGGGTTTGGCTCATACCTGAACAGAAGCAGCAGGAATTGTTTCCTCTTCCTTTCGGGGCCAAAAAGGCTGCATCCTTCCAGAAGACTTTACAAAAGCAGTGTTTGCAACAGAACACATTTGGAAGAATCACTTCAACAACCTGGAACAGAGTCATCACGCAGAGGCAAGAGTGGGGTGGAGCCTGCCCCACGCCCTTCTGAAGGTCAGCACAGCTTGGGAAAGGAATGGAGGGGTCTGATCCTAGCATGTTTTCTCTAAGCATTACCACATTTGGAGAAGGGGGTCACCCATACTCTGCCAGGGAAATGTTCTGAGGGTCTCCACCTCCCTGTGAGCTGGGCAGCATCAACAGCAGGGAAGGTACCTAAGGACCCCAGGAGCCAGGCTCACAGTAGTCACATATGGATTCTCCTTGCTGCCCCAGGGCTGAGCACTGCTGCCCTGACCTCTCTGAATGCCATGCCTTCTCTCCCCTGAGCTTGCAGGTCAGTGACTGCCTGGCTGCAGCCTCTGACGCTGTCAGTTTGCTGGCTGGTATCTGTGAAGTAGCAGGAGAGATCCCAAGTTGCTGCAGCTTCACAGGCAGGAAGCTTAAGAGGTTACCAAGTCATGCACGGACACAGCCCAGCTGGCAGCAGAAACGGACGTTTCCGTGGGCAGGCAGGTAGCTGTGCTGCATGAGGTTGGTGGGGGCAACTGCTCCCAGGGCAAGGCTGGCTGGGGCCAACAGAGGCTTTTGCAGGGCTTGGAGACCTTGGAGACCAGCAGCAGGGCTGGAAGGGCTGGGACTGTGACAGGGGTCAAGCAGCACTAGCAGCTCTGAAGGAGCCAACAGAACATTGCAGAATGCCTGGTGTCACAGGGAAGGGGGGGGCAGGGTCACAATGACACCCACATGCAAGGCCTGTAGGTTGCAGAAGTTCATTGGGGCCAGACTTCATCCCCAGTACCGAGAGGACTGCTCTGTGCTACAGAAAATGGCTGGCTCCAAAATAGCCCCATTCCTGCCTGGGTCTGATGGAGACCCAGTGGGGCCCAGAAGGCACGGCCAGCTTGCGCCTCAGACTCCTGCTCGTCTGTTCCCTAACCAAGTGAAAAATTAGAGCAGTACCCAAATGCCTCCTTTCATCCCAAAGCCATCCATGCCTCCTCTCATCACACAAGGAGGCCAAAGCCACCCAAGCACTGGGGAGCAGGAGCTCCTGAAGACTTAAAACCTGCTGGCCCAGCAGCTCAGCAGGAGGTGCTGAGCTTCCAGCCCATTTGTTTCGCAATAAATCTAGATGGTAAGAAAGCCCCGGTTTGATCTGCTATGATTTTATCTTCCCGCAGGTCAGGTACCCGGTGGCTGCTCCCGCAGGCAGCCGCGTGGCAGTCTGGAGGTCCGATACCGCCAAGGGCGGCACCGAGGTGGCCGGTGTGGGACAGGGCTGCGAGCTGGGGCAGGTCCGGGCTGCCCGCTCAGTGCGCCCCTCGGCCGGGACCCAGCTCGCTGCTCGGCGCAGGGCCTCGCCGACCGCCCCCGCCATGTGCAGGCGTGCGCCCCGGAGCAGGCAAACATTGTCCGTGGGCCCGGGACAGCCGAAGCCCACCGCCCCGCTCCCGGCGCTGCGGGATCCCCCCGCTCCCGGCGGCGGCGC